CCATGGAAGAAAGAGGAGGCAGTCTGGTTCCCTAGAAATTTACAGCTTTAGAAACCCTATGGGGCAGTTCTACTCTGTCTTACAGGGTCGCTGTAAGTCGGAATTGACTTGATGGCAGTGAGGCGGGGCCATAATTCTGTACTCACTCTTTGCAGACAGCCCTTAGGAGTTTAGTTTATAGTAATACAGCAAAGTTCATCTCTTAGTTTTGACAACTGTACCAAAATTATGTAATATGTTACCACTAGAGGAATCCAGGTAAAGAGGATTCACATTTGCAACTTTCTATGATACTAAAATGATTACAGAGCATTTAAATTTATTTAATTAAATTTACTGTTTTAAATCTCTTAAAATAATGCTTTGGGTAAGAGACAAGTATTGATTTGGGTGAAGGGTAAAACAATATACCAAAAGTGAGTGATCAACACAATAACAGTAAGTAAAAAGAAGACAAAGGGAGGTGCACAAGAGGTGCAGACAACAAAGCTAAACCCTTTTACATCCCCGATACTGCATTATCAGTAATAACAAACTGTAATCTGTGGCTGGATACACAGGTGGACAGGCTGAATGATCAGGTATGTCTAGGCAAAAGGGAATATACCCACAGACCACGTAAAAGTTTGGCAGATGATATTTCTACATATGTATTTGTATGTGCTATAAGACGGTCCATATAAATAGAGCTAACAGGTGGCAAAGTTATAATAACTTCTTAGCCACAGGCAACCATCAGAGGAAGTTGTTCCGTGGACTCAGAACATCTTAGTAATTTTTTCTTCCTCTTTCCTTATCTAATCAAATTTCTCTGAATTTTCTACGTAATTATATGCTTTAGCTTTTCTGTTCTAAGAATTCATTTATTTCTGAAGTTCTAATTCTTTCAGTATCTGACAGTTCCTAAAATCTGACAGTTCTACTAATCCTCTAAATTTAATTCTTGCTGTTTTAAGCCTACAACTTTTGTCATGTCTACAACAGAAATGGAAAGCAGTTTCTCACAAACAGGTCACCTTACATTTGTAAGGACTCCTATTTATAGTACTTTAACCCCACTGCTGTCAAGTTGATTCAGACTCCTAGCAACTCTGTAGGACAGAGTAGAACTGCCCCATAGAGTTTTTAAGGTCGTAAAAATCTTAGTCAACCGCCACATCTTTCTCCTGCAGAATGGCTGGTGGGTTCAACTTCTGACCTTACAGGCGGCAGCTGAGTGCTTTACCATGGTGCCACCAGCACTCTTTATAGTCCATTACCTTTTTCAAGTCCATGTGAAAGGAAAAATTGTACAGAAGCATTTATATAAGAAATCTTTTCAAAAAGACAGATAATTATATTGAAGCAGATATTTATTTTAAAACACTCAATAAATCTGTTATAAACAGGTATTTAATACAGAAAAAAAAATCCTTTATTTTTATACTTGTAATAAATCTTCACTCATTGTAAGTTTTAAAAGTATCCAAAGCATTATTATTGTTATTATTATTTTATTTTACTTTTCTTTTCTTGTGATTTGGGTGAAAGTTTACAAAGCAAATTCATTTTCCATACTGCAGTTCATACACATTTTGTTTCATGACATTGATTGCAATCCCCAAAAGTAACACCTTTCTTCCCATTTCCTTCCTGAGCCTGGTTACCTTTTCTCTGTGTCCTTCTCTCCTGTGCATTCCTTCTCTGAGCCATCTCCCTGTGCAAATACTGATCTTCTGATCTCTCATGGTTGATTGATCTAAGGAGTGTACCTACCTGGTGTAAATGTTCACCTTATATGCCTGACTATTGATTGACTGGCAGTTCAAACCCACCAGCCATGCCTGGGAAGGAAGGCTAAGGAATCTATTTCCGTAGTGATATCACCTCAGAAACCCAAGGAAGGGTCGCTATAAGTCAGGTCTGACTCGAAGGCACATAACAACAACAGTATTGATTGACTAGGAGCCCTGGTGGTGTAGTGCCTAGGCATTTGACTGCTAACCAGAAGACTGGTGGTTCAAACCCACCAGCCACTTCTGGGAAGGCAGATTGAGCAACCTACCTCCATAGAGATATGCCTTGGAAACCAATCACTATGACTTGAATCAACTCAACTGCAGTGAGGTTTTTATTTTTTTGTTGTTGTTAGACTGATTGACCGGAAGCCAAGGGGAGTGAATTCATTTCCAGGCCTGAAGAGTGACTAGGGGCCACAATCCAAAGGTTTCACAAGTCTATAAGCTTGGTTCTTTTTATGGTTCTGAAATTTGTTCCACACTTTCCCCCCAACTCTATCCAAGATCTCCTGCACTGGTCTCTTTCTTAGTGGTTGACAGGGTAGCCAGGTACCATCTAGGTCTTCTGGTCTCAGGGTCATACAGGCTGAAGTTTGCATGGTCCACTAGTCCCTTGCACTAACTGCTTCCATGCTTCTTTGGATTTCTTCATTCTTCTTTGCTCCGGATGAGGAGAGACCAATTTTTGCATTTAGATGGCTGCTTGCAAGCTTTTAAGACCACAATCACTACTGATGAAAGTAGGATGGAGAGCAATGTTTTTGTGTAGTATGTTATGTCATCTGAGCTTAATGTCCCCTGACTATAAAGAGTGCTGGTGGCACCATGGTAAAGCACTTGGCTGCCATCTGTAAGGTCAGCAGTTGACCCACCAGCCACTCTGCGAGAGAAAGATGTGGCAGTTGACTAAGATTTACAGCCTTAAAAACCCTATGGGGCAGTTCTACTCTGTCCTATAGGGTTGCTAGGAGTCTGAATCGACTTGACAGCAGTGAGGTTAAAGTACTATAAATAAGAGTCCTTATAAACGTAAGGTGACCTGTTTGTGAGAAACTGCTTTCCATTTCTATTGTAGACATGACTAAAGTCGTGGGCTTAAAATGGCAAGAATTAAATTTAGAGGATTAATAGAACTGTCAGATTTTAGGAACTGTCAGATACTGAAAGAATCAGGACTTCAGAAATAAATGAATTCTTAGAGCAGAAGAGCTGAAGCATGTAATTACACAGAAAACTCAGACATATTTGACTAGGGAAGGAAAGAGGGAGAGAAAAAACACTAAGAGGGGAGAAAATTAAATAAAGGAAATTACTAATGAAAATAAGGACTTATGGCATCTCTAAGGAATTCGGGTATGATAAATTATGGATGGAAGAATAATAGTAACATATATAATATTAAATCCAATCCCATCACAGCTTCTCTCAAAGCCTTCCAGTGGCTCTTGTCACTCAGAGCATGAGACAGAGACCAATGGAGACCTTGAAGACCTGCCTCTCTGCCCCTACCATTCCTCTGACTTATCTTCTATAGTCACCTTCTCCCTTACTTCCCCCCAGCCAACCTCATGTCCATCCTGTTCCTCAGACATCTGGTCTTTGCACTTTCTGGAATCTCCTTGCCTGGAATCCTTTTTCCTAGACATTCCCAGGATTCACACTTCCTCTTCCTTTGATTTTGCTCAAATATTAATACTTCAGTGATTTACAACCATGAACATATGCTATTTAACATGGCAACCCTCTAAACCCCCAATTCCCCTTACCTTGCTCTTTTATTTATTATAGCAGCATCCACCAGCTAATAGTTTAATATAAGTGATCAGATTTTTGCCTCTTTGTTCACGGATGTTGAGCAGTGCTTAGACTAGAATAGCAATGCGTATCTAGTAGGCATCTCAATGAATGTGTGCTAAATAAATGAGAAAATGTAATTATCCATTATCATTAAAACAAGGATAATACAAAATTGGTAACTTTTCCAGAGTTATTTTTGCAGCAAATGGAATAAAATTTTTGCTTGCTGTTATTTCCTATGTAGTCTTCTACACTGAACAATTACTTCTATAACCTTTTTTAATGTGGTTTTGTTATTTATTATAAAAGACAAGTTATCTGTGTGAAATAACTTCAACTCAGCCCCCAAAAAATAAATTCTTTTGCTATAAATTGTATGTGTCCCATTATTTTATCATAAGTGATGGGGAAAAAACTGATGTTATATTTTAATCTTAGAGGTGTCAGCAGCAGTAACATGCATTCTCTGGCTCACCAGAAAACCATCTCTTACATTAGAGTGGCACACAGGCAAGATATTTTGGCAAAGACAGTCTATGAAATGAAGTTACAATGAACCAAAACAATTATATTGATTTTTAGTACAATTCAACACACAAAGGAACATCAGTTCTCTAAAGACATGAACTGAAAAGGACAGGGAAAAATACTCTACAAGCAGTGGAAAGGAGAGTATAGAGGACAATTATACTAGCAAACGTCTTAGCATTCTTTTTAGTTGTTTGTTTCTTAAGTTTGAAGAACTGAGAGGTATGAATCAGATACAACTGTCCGCATCTAAGTATCAACTTGATGGCAGTGAGTTTGGTTTGGTTTGGTTTGGTCCTCATCTAAAAATCAAAGATTGCTCATTTATGAACATTATGCTCACAACCAAAAGCCTGAATATCCTATAGACATTTATAAGATAAAGCCAGATAATCTTTGGAACATCCTTTTCAGAGCTGAGTCTGTCCCTCTCTCATACACATACACACAGACACACAATCTCTTTCTTTTCTCTCTCACTCTCTCTCTCTCTCTCTCTGTCACATACACACACACACACACATACACACACACGCAAATAAAAGCTCTCTCTCACACCCATACATAATCTCTCTTAGACACACACACACACAATCTCTCTCAGACACACACACATCTCTCATAAGTACACACAATCTCTTACTCAGACACACACACACTCTCTCTCTCATACATATATATACACACACACACATATACACACAAAATCTCACTGTCTCTCTCCTCAAGTGACAAAACTATCTACATTGTATTCTAAACACATTATTTGCCAAAACATCATTAAGTTTTCTGTAAGGAAATATTTTACTTAGATATCATTAATGAGACAAAATGCTTTTCAGGTCAGAGAACTTTTAATGGGATGCTCAGGATCAGGAGAGACCAGCCAGGACTTACCATGGCTTCCTCACTTCTCCTTTGGGCAACTTCTCGCTGCAGTCGGGCCACAGCCAACTTCTCCCTAGAAAAACAAAAGCACGTGATTAGTTATCACTCTTCTCAGGGTAGAGGCCATACTGCCATGAGTCTGAACCATTCTTTTGAAGTCTCCAGATAAACTCCTTCCTTGGATGGGCTCACTTCCTCCACTATTCTTTTTATAAATATTTAAAGTGATTGATCATTGTTGTTGTTGTTGTTGTTATGTGCCGTCGAGTCAGCCCTGACTCATAGCGACCCCTCCTTGGGTTTCCGAGGCAGTATCACTACGGAAGTAGGATTGCCCAACCTTCCTTCCGAGGAGTGGCTGGTGGGTTTGAACCGCCAGCCTTCTGGTTAGCAGTCAAGTGTCTTAGCCACTATGCTACCAGAGCTCCTGATTGATCATTAGTGCACTCTTTTCATCAAGTGTCATGAAAGAGATTTTTTGCCTTGGATTTTCTATACTAATAACTAAATAAATATTTAATACTCAACAAAAGCTTCACTTTAAGTTTATTACTATATTTGTAAATAAACTGTTCCATGAATAACCTATTTCAGTTGTCATTTATGCATTAACTGTGTACACGTGTGTGTGTGTGTGTGTATGTATAGACTCAATGGCACATAACAACAACAAAAATATATTTTTTTTTTTTCTTTTTTCATTCTCTATGTCCATACCCAATTGAAAAAATAAAACAACACTCCATACCATTCTTAAAATAATAACAGTAGGTTTGCTACATAACAGTCACTATGCTGGGCATTTTCACCTGATCTCATATATGCATTTGACAGCAACTTTGTAAGTAGGTTTTATTATCGCCATTGTACAGATACAGAAACTGAGGCTCCAAGAGGCTAAGTTACTTGAACAAACCCCCAGCTACTTTGTAGTAGTAGTACTGGATCAAATTTTAGGTTTCCTTTGCCCTGAAGCCTAAATAAAATTTTACATATCATTTTATGGGCTATAGAAAATACAGATTTTAAAATCAGATTTTTATTTCTATCAATATTCTTTATTTTACAGTAGGGTTCATTGTAAATCCCTTATAATTGTAATTCTGAGTCAACATACAAAAAAATTCAATATTAACCACTGTAAGAAGAAATACTTCTATAAAGTGATAAATGCCTAAAGTTTGAGCATCTTTTCAATTATTCTTAAAATAGTTAATAGATGAAGTAGTGAATGAACAAACACTCCAGTAATACCCAAATCTTACTTTTAGGAGGGATTTTGCTTAAAATCTTTGTATCACTATCAAGATACTAAACTATATGAGTAGTATTTCATGCCCTACCCATTCCTCTGTATAGGATCAGCAGTGTGAAAACACACAAGAGGCAGCCCAATTCCCAGACAAGTGACAGTATTTCTCCTCTCCCAACTCTCTGGGTCTTTGAAATGCCTATGACTGCTAAGAATACATATATATTAGTGTGGTTAATGTTGAGTAGGATTTTAGTAAAAATATTATTGAAATAAGTATCTAAAGGCACAGATTAGAAGAAGGGAATCTAGAACCATAAGACTATTGACGGGCTTGAGCGAAGACCAGTACATACACCTCATAAGGGGCAACAAAATAAATGGGAAGTAGTCACAAAGATGAAAGGCATGAGCCTCTTTTTAAGAAAGCAAGGCAAAGTCCACATGTGCTGTGTGACCCAAGTCCTGATAACTAGCAAAGGGACAAATGAAAAGAGCAAAAAATTCAAAGAGAAGAATGTAATGACTTCTGGTTTAATATGGAGAAATATACACATGCATTTACCTTTTTTTTTTCTCAGAAACCATCAAAAAGGCAGTAAAGGACTAAGAATGGTAAAGAGTCATAAGGACAAAGAAAACAGGAGAAAATACACTATACTCTATGACCTAGCAATTCCACTCCAAGGTATAAACCCAACAGAAATGCATTATATATATATATATATATTCACTAAAAGACATAAAGTAGAATGTTCATAGAAGCACTATTTGAAATCGTCTTAAGCTGAAAATGCAAAAATACCCATTAAAATAGAATGGCTAAATAAAAAACTTGCAGTCATTCATTTGAACACTATAAAGCAAAGAGAATGAATGACCTGCACCTGATCTTAACAACATATGGAATGTTACATATGATTGAGTGAAAGAAGCAAAATTCAAAAAAGTATATATATTATGATTCCATTATTATAAAGCGCAAATATGAGCAAAACTACGCAGCTCAGTAAGGTAAGAAACAAAGGACATAAAGATAAAAAAAGGAAGGGGTAATTCCCCCTTCCTTTTTATACAGAAAATTGTAAGGAATTTACAATACTGCTGTACAACTAATAAGTGAATTTGATAAAGTCATAAGATACAAGGTCAATATACAAAAATCAATTGTATTTTTTACCCACTTGCCCCAAACAACTGAAAAATGAAATTTGTGAATATTCCACTTACAATAGTGTTAAAACTAACATTTTTAGTGGATAAACTTAACAAAAGACTTGTAAGACTGCTACACTGACAACTATATTGAGAAAAATAAGAGAAGATTTAAATAAATGAAGAAATATAATACATTAATGGATCAGAAGGTTTAATACTGTTGAAATGTTAATTCATATCAAATTGACCTATAGATTCCATACAATTCCAATCAAAATCCCACCAGATTATTTTGTAGAAATTAACAAACTGATTCTAAGATGTATGTGGAAATATCAAGAAGTTAGAATATAAAAAATTATATTAAAAATAAGAATTTAAGATTTTCTTGAATTCATACTTCAGTAACCAGGGCTGTGGTATGTGGTGCTGGTCTAAGAAATGACAAATACATCAATGGAACAGATACTTGATTTTTAAGAAACAGTAGATTTTTGACAACAATGTCAAAACAATCCAAGTGAGAAAGGAAAATATTTTCAACAAATGGTACAGTTACAATTGAATATCCACACAGAAAACAAATGAACCACGGTATCTCATACTATACAAAATAATAATAATTTGAGATGTATTAGAGGCCTAAATGTAACTAAAACTAAAAAGCTTCTAGAAGAAAGCATAGGACAGTGTCTTCATGACATGTGAGTAGTCAAAGCTTTTTAAAATAGGGCACAGAAAGCAATAACCAAAAGAGAAAAAAAAAAAAAGATGATTTTTTTTAAACTGGAAACCTCTACTCATTAAAAAGTGTCCTGGTGGTACAGGTGTTGAGCACTTGGCTTCTAACTGAAAGGTCAGTGGTTCAAACTCACCAGCCACTCAGCAGGAGCAGATGCTTGCATAAAGACTACAGCCTTGGAAACCCTGTGGGGCAGTTCTAACTCTGCCTATATGGTTCCTAGAATTCACTATGAGCTATGATACCTACAATTCCACCTCCAAATATTTACTTACGGGAAATAGAAGCAAATATCTACAAAAAGAATATCAAATGAACTTTTATAGCACTTTTACTCACGATAGCCAAAAGCTATAGAAGTGGCCAAGTTGTCCATTAATAAATGAGTTAATAACAAGCAATGGAATACCACTTAGCAATTAAAAGGAACTAGAGTCACATGCAATAACATGGATGAATCTCAAAAACAGTATACTGAAGGAAGCCTTATAAACGAGCACATACTGAATTATTCTACTTACACAAAATAATATAAAGGAAAAACTAATCTATTGTGCAAAAATTAATACAGTGATTGCCTCTGGTGGGGAGGACAGCAGGACTAAGAAGTGACATAAGAACTTTCTGAGGTGAAGGTAATGTTCTATATCATGATAAGGGTTGTGATTACACAAGTATAAACCTTTGTCAAAGCTCAGGAAATGTACACTTAGGACTGTTACTCCCACCCTTCCCCCAAAAAAAGGAACTGTAAATATGGAACTCTAGGTAATGAAAAGCTATTGAAGGGTTCACAGGAAGTATATTGATGCTTATAACTTATTCTGAATTGTATCAAAATATGAAATGATTGATGGAGAGATAAGCTATAAAGCAAATACAACAAAATTTTAAGCATAGAATCTAATTGTAGAAATTAATTGTAGAATTATTTTGACTTTTCTTATATAGTTTTAAATTTACAAAGTAAAATGTACACATCACATTGTCTGTAGAAAACTTCACCGTATATTCTTGAAAAAATGTGAGTTAAAAAAGCAGCTTAATGTCAACATGAAAATAGTTCTGACCTTTGCATCCCTAGACAAGGTCATGGGGACATAACACCAGGGTCCTAGGACCATCCACACTTTGAAAACTTCAACTAGGAGATACAGAACTTGAAAGATGATTTGGAAATTTTTCTTGAATTCTTGATTGCTGAATCTTTAGATAAAGACTTAATATATATGTTGTTATTGTTGTCATGTGCCGTTGAGTTGGACCCAACTGACAGCAACCCCTCCTTGGGTTTCCAAGGCAGTATCACTACGGAAGTAGATTTCTCCATCTTCCTTCCAAGGAGTGGCTGGTGGGTTTGAACCGCCAGCCTTTTGGTTAGCAGTCAAGTGCCTTAGCCACTATGCTACCAGAGCTTCCAATATATATGTTAGTAGCATGTTAATTCTTCACAAAAGCTGTCCAGCATAAAAGAGACATTTCTGGGAACCAAGCAGGAGTCTATGTTATCACTATCATCCTGCTAAATTATAAAAGAATCCTAATATGGTCTAAAGGAGCTCTGGTAGCATAGTGCCTAAGGCATTTGACTGCTAACCAGAAGGCTGGCAGTTCAAACTCACCAGCCACTCCCCGAAGGAAGGTTAGGCAATCTACTTCTGTAGTGATACTGCCTCAGAAACCCAAGGAGGGGTCGCTGTGGGTCAGGTCCAACTCGATGGCACATAACAACAACAACATGATCTAAAGGTTAGGAACGCCACTCTTTTATCCTTAAAAGAGACTGTCTTTATAGTGAATATTAGGAATCATCACACTGTTACAGGTACTTGTCAAATCTTACTAAATTCAGTTTGAAAGCAAACTTTAATAGTTTTAGTCATTACATAGTTTTTTAAAAAAGGAAATATTAATAAAACAT